GGAGATAGCTCAGTAGCGCCTGACTGGCAAGTGCAAGGGCCTGAGTTCAGTCCCTGGTTCCACAAAACAAAAAAAAGTAGATTAGATAATGAGGGTTTTTTCTATAATTTATATTTTCCCCTTCATTGGTCCTTAATAAAAACTTCTGAGGTATTGCTTAATGGCAGTTTGGAAACTGTAGTTCCCAGTATGAGGAATACAGGACAGCATGTCATAACCTGCTTCCTTTTACATCTGCTTTCCTGCCTACTGTGATTGAAGTCCATAGTCCTAGTGCAGCTCTGAGCTATGCAGCTAACTATGGTGTCTTGGCAAATTAAATTTGAATGTTGTAGAAAGTTGACTCCTGTAGAATATAAACAGTATTTACATTATAATTTCTTTTCAAGGGTATGTTTTAATATATGTATGAAATGAAATATTTGGATATAATTTTTAATGGAGTGTTTTTGTAAGTTTATTTTGTTTATATGACTGCATATTCACACAAACATCTGTTAAAGTTAGTTAGATAACGTGGCCTCATATTACTAAATAAACATACAAAAATTTAAACCTAAAAGATATCCATAGAACACATTAAATATTCCAATGAGATCAGGTGGGGTGGTGCACACCTGTAATCCCAGGACTTGAGTGCTGAGGTGGAAGAATCTATATCAGTTCAAAGCTAGTCTGAACTACATAGCAAGATGCTGCCTCAAAAAGAAAAAAAGAAAGAAATCTAAGGAGACATTATGTGATTCCTAAGTAGCTTCTCTGCCAGACAGTCTGAGTACTCACACACCAATAATTCTTCTGATCCTTCCACTGCAGTACTGAAGCTAACTCTGGCTCTGAACTTTCTGATAGGTTGCAGGCATTCTTGCAAAGTCTGATCCACTCCAAGTTCTTGTGCTGAGAACTCTTGCTGTTTTCCCTGGGTGTGATGGAATCAGCAGACAAATTCATTGGTTCAACATTCTTGTGCAGTTACATTAGCTACAGGCATAATAGCCTAATCTGTTGCAGTGGCATCTATCAGGGATAGTTGTGAAATAACATACTGTGAGACCCTGTTTTAGGTCTCCCATTGACCTAAAGAAAAAATCCATGATTACAGTATAAGTATCCTAGCAGCTGAATTATATACACTGTCATGGTGACGTCACTCCTAACAGTGCTCCGCAATAATTTTAGAGAATCAGTTGTATGAATCCCTGGGGGTTGGGAACTAGGTAATGCCAAAGTGGGGAATGAGAAGAAAAATAGCCTGCTATATGTTAATGGGGGGGAGGAAACAAGAGGGAGTAAAGGATCCTAATGATGGTAATGGAAGGGCTACATATTTAGATGGGGTAATGGAAAACTGGGCACAAAACTGGTAGTGAAAAATGGGGGTAGAAGAAAAAAATTTTGAGAAAGCAAAGGAAAATATCTGGCAAAAATAGGAATTCAAGGTAGATGTATAATGGGACAGGAGTGAATTCCCTTAGCTTCTATAAACTGTATTGGAAGAAAAAGACAAGAGGCAGTCTCTCTCTGTCTCTCTCTCTCTGTCTCTCTCTCTCGAAAACACTAGACTAAGAATGGAACAGGATGAATATGAGGAGGAAAATAGCAAAATAATAATAAAGTTAAAAAGTTTTCTGTTTTTTTGACACATGGTTATTTTCCTCAATCTAGGGTTAAGAAGCAAAACTCAAACCAGTTTATGCTGGAAGTCTAAGCTGTCACTCTGCACCTATGGTGGTGTTATGTGCAGGGATGCAGTTAGTGAGAATAGGGTGCAAATGTGAGGTTCCAATTCTGTGCAGCTGAGGCTGCAATGGTGACCTGCCAGCTCGTGTCCCATAATTGTGGTAGTCACCATCAGTTGACTGTGGAAGGTCACTTTGTAGGCAGTGTCCTGTACTATCCTTGATCCAACTGCCACTGATTCTCAGCACTAATGAGGTTCTCTGTGAACTAAAAGTTTTGTTTCACTGTCTTCTGGCTGGTGGTTAACTAGCTTCTGTTTGTGTTGCCACCATGGTCTGCAGGGATTTTCCTCTCCTCTGTGATGTGCTTTCTTGGGTATGACTCCAAAGATTTCTCTCTCTCTTTCTCTTTCTCTTTCTCTTTCTCTTTCTCTTTCTCTTTCTCTTTCTCTTTCTCTTTCTCT